GTAACAACTCGAACACGAACATAAAGTTGTACACCATCACCATCACTAGGTACCTTCAATTAATAGTTATGATATTTTTAGTATGAGTACAAACATATAATTAATTACTTCTATCTCAGGATACTTTCTTTGTTTTTTGTTTTCACCTGCTTGTACTAATGGACAATCCTTTTTTGCTAAATCCTTTAGCATACGAACACGTCGATGACGTTTTGGGTGCTTTATTACATTTGGTTTATCATAATTTTGAATTGAACTATGGCTTGTTCGAACATCTGGTCTGACTATTGTTGCCGGTTTTGTTGTACTTTGAAATAAACATATGGGAATGTGGGAAACAATATTTTTCGAAGAGCAAATATGATTTTTTGCGTGTCCAGTTTTACTTTGCGCCGTATTTGTCATAACATTTTTCGAAATCCATTCTCCTTCTTTCAAAGTTTCATCAGTCGTCTGTTGTCGGTCATCTGTTTCCATCGATGTAGTATCATCAATTTCTTCTATTTAATACGATAAAAATATAATATTTAGTAATACTCATTGAATTATACAATAACTTACGATGAAGACATTTGTTTTGATAGAGATATTTTGTCATATGTTCGAGTTTTTCATATACTTTCTCAATTGAATCTGTGTTCCACGACAAATTGAGATCATTCTCTATTGAATCTGTGATAATAAAAATAGAATAGTTGCTTTTATTGGATAATGAGTCTTATTCACAATTCGCTTGTTGACTACGAACAGGCAAAAAAAAAGTGGTTATATCAGTTTGTTTATTGCGTAGAACAGTTTCTTTTCTTAAAGTCTTGTTCATAGCTGTGAGTAAGACAATAAGAGAAGAGATCGTCCTTCGCAACAAACGAACTAGTTTGACCACCTTTTTTTTTTGCATATTCGTAGTCAATAAGCAGCGAGTTGTGAACAAGGTTTCTTGGTATCTCATTCGATACATTTGTTCTTTGAAAATGTATTCAGTTTCAAATCGGTAGCTGAACGGTGGTAATTTTGAAATATTGAGTATTAGTTATATGATAAAGAGTATTAGGTTTTTTGTACAACAAATAAACTATTAAAATTTTCTTTTTATCTATCAAACACTTCAAATTGAATTTTTCTTTGAAAATAAAAAAACTCACCTATTGAATCTGTCATGATTTCTTTCGAATAAAAATGTGAATCCGATTGAGGAATAGTTTGAGCAGTATGTTGAATGTCACTGCTGGAGTTTTTGTGTTTTATCAGAACAGCTTCATTTTGAACAGCTAAAACATTTTTACAATGCTTTGAATTTATGTCGTTCAAATTAGAGTATTCACTTGATCTTGAAGAAAATCGAGCATCTAAATTATCTGTATGTTGTCGTTCCTCATCATATCTTGTAGTATTATCGTTGTCGACGGTACGATCTGTCTGTGAAGCCGGATCCTGAGATACTTTAAAGATATAAAGAATAAATTCTTTAGTTCATCTTTTGCAATCTTACTCTCCAGGTTTCGTTGGACAATCAATTCTTTTATATAACTTATGATAGTTTTATCATTGGTAGCAAAGCATGTTTGTGGTTGACAATCAGCATGAGTCGCATACCATGGTGCAAATAAGGACATTTTAAAATCATACATGATAAATGCAATATTACGATGACGTTTCTGTTGTTCGATTTTGTGTGAAGTTACGCCATACACATAAACATCATTATCATCAATTGGAACGTCGTCAGTAAATCTTATAATATTAAGTTCAAGTTTGTATAAGTTAGCATAGCCATTCAAAATATAATCTAATTGTTCTGGTGTTGCAGTGGGTGATATACAATCTAGAGTGTGTCGCATCCAAATAAGCGAACGTTTTATAGTACATCCATATCTTCCAATGAATCTCATACATTTAGGCAAATCTGTCCATGAATGCATTTGGACAGGATCATGCCATGACCTAGAGAACATTATAAATTAGGACACTTTCAAAAATGATCGAAAGAAAGATTCAATACTTTAAATTTTGACCTCGTAGTAAAACAGATGGAGAAATTTGTCTTGAGCACATCGATGATGACACTAATTCGTCTTCACTTAACGACTACCTTGTTTTGGTACGAGTTAAAGAAACTTCTTTTTCAAGTGTATTTGCTTACTCCTAAACTTCAGTTACTTATAATAAAAACAAAAAAAAAAATATATATATATATATATACCACAAAAATGATGAGTAATCTGCTAACAACCAAACGAGGCGGTAAGAGAACAAACGTAGAGAAAAGAAAAAGAACATAGAGAAAATACGTCAACGCAAACAATCAGTTGGTGTATTCCTACTACAGGTAATTCAAAGAGTACTTGGACACTTGACTATATTTTTTCCTACTGGTCGATGTGCACAACGATGATAAGGAATAAATTTTCTTTCTTCACGAAAGACCAAAACTTTGATTTTCATATGGAATTGAATAAGAATTGAGGGCTATCAAATGCTGAAGAGAGAATGTGTTTGTTCTCTGTCTAAGTAGAAATGTTGATATTTTTGCATTCTTATTTCACAACAGAAAAAAATACAAATAAAGAATTAATAAGTGTCTGAATACTATTTTTTGAACTTCATGTATGTCGAAAGAAAAGTGATATTAATGTAACGAAAATTCTTTTGTTTTGTAGTGTCAGTAGTTTCATTATCATACAACGCACTATTCTGATTCATAATCATATATATGATATTATAATATTACTTTAAAGATCTTCTAATTTAATTTCGATAAGATTTGATGAATGACGAAATGTTTGAAGTCACAGAAATAATCTGACGAACAAGACCAAAAAAAGATCACAGTGCATGCACGCTAGACTATTACACGTGACTACAACCCGACAAATAAGTGTATTTTTAACTTTGAAAGAAAAAAGGAAGAAGAAAAAATAAGTTGTAACAGAAAATAAAAAAAAATATGACTTTTTACTCTCATATTTTATTGACGAAGTAAACTACAGGATTATTCGTAGTTTGCTTGATTAGATTAGTAAAATATACTTCTACATAGAAAGCATACTTCTTTTGCCTAATTGTAATCGATGTCATCATGAGTAATATTTTCATCAAATGAAAATGAGCAATATAAGCATGAAGAAAATACTTTCCCCGCAATGTTGGTTTTTTCCCGTCGTAATGATTCATTCGAAGTAGGAATATTTCAAGTGAAAAGGGCTGTCAATGCTTTTTTTTTTATTCGATCTATTCAATATCTATATTTAGATATCTTCCGATGTTCGTAAATATTTCGTTGTATTGCATCAGTTTTTAATACATAATTTCTCTAATCGAGTTTATCTGAAGTCACATCTTTGACACAAACTGATCATGTAGCGAATCGATTCTTTTTTAATAGATAAAATAGAGAAGTAATAGATCGATATTCATTAATAACAATTGCTATAATAAAATATATTGAGATTTCATTCACAAAATTGAATGCCAAACTCATAAGCAGTTTGAATTCTTATAAGTCATTTCAGTTTTATTTCGATTGTTATATGTACTTGCAATCACAGTATGAATTGTCGTATCGATTTTATCTCGCAAAATATACAAAACTCAAAGCGACAAGTCAGAGATTTTCGGTTTTAAACTGATATTAAATATTACTTTCATCTTGCAGAAGACAATAGCGATGGTGGAAAAAATATGAAAAATGTGGATGAAACTATAGACAAAAATGCATAGTGTCTATGGATTCTAGTTGTTCGTATCAGTATTTTAGCTAGCGTGAGAGTCAAGAGGACGGCGCCTCTTCGAAAATCGGATCGGTCCGCCCATAATTTTAAATTGTCCTTCCGGAAGAAAAAATCTAGATGAGATACTATCTCTTATGGTGTAATGCATGACGTAGTCTCATTCAGACAATCCATGACGGATACTAATATAAATATATGATTGTCTCTTTTTCCGAAATGATGTCTGTCAGTTATGTTTCTATCTGAGTGATTTCAGGGATTTATACATAAGTGTCCAATTAATAATGCAATAGTTACTTCCGACAGCCATAACTATACCATTATACATCAGGATATTATTAATCATTCTACAATCACAGATTAAAATAATTCATTGATGATATCTCTTAATTGTGCAACACATTATTAACTTTTATTTAGAATTCATTTTGATGAAAAAAAGAAATGATGAAATACTTGCTCACTATGTCTCTTTCTCAAATGAATTCATAATTGAGATTGTTTTTTTTATTTGACTAGTCTGAATTTAAATTCGAAATCATCTATAACTATCTGTAAGAATGCATCTGAACTGCCAAGACAAGTTTTTTTTTGTTTATTATTATTAATATCAGTTAATTAGTATAAAACTTATAAAGTTCAATTTTAGATTTTTTTGATAATGTAAAAATTAGCATGTGCAGATGTTATATACGTATAATCCAAATTTTATATCTTTTAGTTTCATAATTATGGTAATGTGTTCTAAATTTTTGTGTTTCTTATTGCTATCATCATGAGCATCTCAAAATACTGAAATTTTGTGTTAGATACACTGATAACAAATTTAAAACAAATCAATTAATTAGATTGATATCTTAATAACTACTGTAGAATTCTATATTGAACTCTGTAATTTTAGTGTTCTGTCTTCAGATTTTTTTTGATCAAAAATTTAACTGAAAAGAATCTCTACGTTTTTGTATTATTTCTATTGCATATGATAACTCGAGAAAGTTTTTTTTTAATGTTTTAAGCGTAATTATTTGAATGCAAATATATTTTTTCTAACTAGGAAGAAAAGAAAATAAAGACAAGCATCACATTGTATGAAGACATGAAACAATCCACGTGAAAAAGAAAAAAACCATCAAAAACATTACACATGCAAGGAAGAAAGACGTGATATATAAATACGACACACAAAGTTAAGAGCAAACTGCATTTCATATAGTTGTTATTGCGCCATTGAAATATTCCAGGTAAAATTTGTTTCATTCTTCATTTTTTTCCCTATGTAATAGAACGAGAAGAGTTGGATTTCTTTTTTTCTAAAAAAATAAACATTAACAAGAAGAAAATCATATACAAATTTTACTTTCTGTAATTATACACGATAATGATTCAGGAGAAATAGGTTTATACGTTTCATTTTCTTTAATACATAACCAAAATGCCAATTTACATTTGTCAAGTTGTTCACGTTCAATCATATCCTTAGTTAATCGTTGGTTTTGGTATAAATTAAACATGTATATTGGTACTCTTTTAAATATATATACAATCAATAAATGAAAATTTATATGATAATAATAAAGATTTACTTTTTCAATTGTTGTCGATGTTCTTTCAAGGTAATTTTCATATAAACATTCCTTGTATTTAAATCGAAGTAATGTTTTTGATCACATTCATCGAATTCCAAATAGTTAAGGTAGTTTTCATGGTTACATAAATCTTTGTTTACTTTTGTCTTTTCTTGCACGATAACTTTTGAAGAATGATAATGATTATTAATAGTTCGAACTGCAATAGCAAGATAAATCGGTTGTATGTATCTCGAAGGAACCTATGTGATATGTTAAAGATGTCAATTGTTAAGTTTTTTAATATTATCAATAGGTTACTTTCACTTGAATGTGAGAACGTTGACCACCAACACCTTGTAGAAGTCCAATAAATTTTCTTTGTTCTTTTTTGTTTATATGTTTATTTGTTTTTCGTTGATATTTTGGGTTTACTTTGGGGTTTTTGTTGACTTTGTTCTTTGGTTTTGGTATTAAATCTTTTGGATATCGAGGATGCCAATCTTGTTTTGGTTCGGTGACAATTTCTGGTTTTCTACATGAATATTGTGTTGATGTTTGTGGAAGAACAATTTGAGGAACTCCTGTTGTCGTTGATAAATGAGTTAATATAGATGATGAAGTATCAACAGAAATTTGATCCGCTTGTGTAACACGATTCGATTCATTTAGTTGGACTAAACAGATATAGGGAATTACTGTACAAATATTTCTTTTTTTTCCCTAAAGGATCACCTGTATTGCTTTGATAATTGTTGTCTGTATTAGAAGAAATAAAAGTTTCATTGTATTCTAAAAAATATAATACATAATAAATTCTGAAATGAAAAACAATGGAATGAAATGATCATATACGTAGCATATGGTGTTCTGGCTCTCGTATGACATGCGATAAAATCTGTGTTTGTTCCTGATAAGTTGTAGTTACTTTTTCAGATGTATGGTTGGAATTATTAGGATTGATTCCTGAAAGATAAACGGGAATAAATCAATTGTTTTTATTTGTTAGAATTTACCAGAATCTTGGATTAATGATGAAATTACATTGCCTGTATAATGTTTGTTTGTTTGAGGAATTTTTTGTTTAATTTGATTATCCCAAGTATGAGTTTCAATTTTATTATTAGGTGAAACAAAAATTTCTAAAATAATAAATGACAATTATTGATAATAATATTAACATTTGGATTTACCTGAGTTTAAGTCATTTGTTGATGAAGAAATATCAGCTATCGACATATCTATACAAATGCATGATTTATTAAATCATATTTAAACCATTTCTTACCGGTAGACCAATCTTGAACGACATTCGAAACGGTTTTATCTTCTAATCGAGGAAATAAACTTGAATCTATTGAAAAATAAATATTATTTAATTATTTTGTGTTTTTTTTTACAAACAATAAAATGTACCTATTCGGTTGATTTCGTCAATATATTTGTCAACATAATGATAAATACTCATATCATCAAGATCAAAAACAGTTTGTATTTGCTCATTTCGATTGAGAGCAAATAGTGGACCACAGATTGTATCATCACCATTGAGTACAATAAAAGCAGTTTTCTTCGGTTCATTTTGATCCACGATAATACATTCACTAATCATTTTAAATCTTCCATTTACGAAGCCAATGAAATTCAAATAAATATTAGAGAGTACACGAAAATCTATGATCAAATTAATTAATGTCTGTCTATTTCTGTACTTTTGTACAAGACTACTAAGTTGTTCTTGATCAGAATCAGTTAATTCATTTTGATTTTTGTTTATATTCTTGTTTTTAAATGTAGGATCATTTAATACAATAAATTCAAATGTATCACGAGTATTTTTTGCAACATAAAGTTGAAAAAAAGTATCGTTTCTATAATTAAAAAGAATTTAACAATTCAATGTAAAGAAAAAAAAAATTACCTTGTATTATTGGTAGATGATGTTTCATAATTGTTGTCGATATTTGTCAATAAATTTAACTCATTATCGGTATCCATAGGGTACCATTCATTTAATAAACGAACAGTGTTTCACGTGATTTTATTGAAAAGATATCTTTTATAAATGAAACTATTCAAATAAAAACCTATTTATTAACAGTGATGACAAGAAGAATATAAATAAATGCAGTGGAAGAGAGAAAAGAGAGAATAAAAAAAGTCGCAACCCGGTGAAGTATGAATCATTCTCCCCGACTCGATATATACAAAAAAAATAATTTGTTGCTTACAGTGTTGTAGAGTAAGCTTTGCCAATCTTATTGATAAACTACATAGTTCGATATTTCTCCGTATAAAGTAGATATTTCAAACTGCATAATATATAATATTATTATTTTATCTATGAGTAATAAAAAAGGAGTAGACATGAAAATTCATCTTATTGATAAGTAAATATTAACTTAAGCGAATTGTTTTAATAGTAATCAAGAAATTTCTCAAAAAAAAATATATTTTTATATTTAAGGTCAAGGCTGTTTCTTATCAGCCACTTAAGCACAAAAATAAAAATGCAAGTTTAAAAAAACACCAACAACTAAACCATGTGGTGTAAATAAAAGTTTTCAAAAAAGAAATTTAATCGTCAATATACAATATATTTTAGAGAAACTCAAAAGAGTTAGATAAATTACAGCTAGAATAATTAGTACCATATTTTTCTACAATTATATTGACACTACAATATTAACAGAAATATCATAACAAAAACAAAATTTGTTCATGAAGTTGGAATTTTATGTCCAACAAAGTTTTGTCGACAGCAGACGTGCGGTCCTTGTTCTAAACAAAAAAAAATTATTTAAAAAGCTCGTTCGAAGAAATCCTTATTTTTGTTACCATCATGAGATACATATTCAAAAATATGATCATAGAGTTTTTTTTCCATTGTTACTTCTTTTTCTTCGTCATATTCCTTTCGTAAGATGATCAGACGAAGACGCTGATCAGTTTGTGCTTTTCGTGGTGGGATAATAAATAAATGTTTTTTTTCTATTTTGAATTTTTTTCCATCTAGTTTCTCACCGTTACATGAAATAGAAAAATCTACCACAAAAAAAATGCATTATACAATTTGTTTGCATGACTAATTTACAATTCTACCTCTCTTAGGACAATCAACACTTAATGGCAATTCAATTATCTGACCACCCATTGCACATAGGTTTTGTGGTTGAACGACATCTGAATTAATACTAACAGGACCATGACCTGAAATTAATTTATAGTAAATTTATGAGTATATTTCAGATCAAAATAAATATTACCATCTTCAATAATTGATGAATAAGAAACTGTCGAGACAAGCTTATAATCACCGGGACCATGTCGAACACATAAACCAAATTCAAGTTTACATAAACTAAGATTCTGATTTTTGAACAATTTCTGTTCTTGAGATCCTTGCCGTTTCCAAGTAATCAGATGAACTAATATTCTAAAAACAGGAAGAGTTAATTTTCAAGAATATATACCCCTGGAAAACAATAGTTTTAATAGATTTTTTTTCGCAGATACTCCCACCACAAAAAACATAATTATATATTCGGAAAGCCTTCGAAATTTTTTTTTTGATCATCCTGTATATTTATGTTTTAACTTACGTCTCTTGAATGGAAAATAAATCACCTGCAATGAAGACATCTTCATTCGTCAGATCTCTGTGAACTCAATTTTATCACTGTCTTCGCAATTAATTTTTTAAATTTATCATCATTACAGAAATAGTTTTATGTTCTGATGAATAATGTGAATATTACATCGATAGACTCATTAACAAACTTTAAAAATCTGATTGATTCAATTATATGTTTGCTTTTTCTTTTTCAAAAGTTTAGGATAACAGAAAATCGCAAACTTTACCAGTATATGTAGTTACATTTTTAAAACTCTATTCCATAAGAATAACTAAACTTGAAATAAAAAGGAAAGTGATAATCGAAAAAGCAGTTTTGAAAGATTTCTCAATGAGTGTGCCTACCTAATTCTTATATTACTCATCAGGACTTAATGCAGGACAAAAGAAAAATATTTAGGTTTATGGAAAATTTCAAGCTCTATCAGAATATCTAATCACTTTTTTCGAGAACTGCCACAGTGATGATAAATTTAAAAAATGAACTGAGGTAACACTGACGAATTTCAATTCGTGAGAATCTGATGATGAAGGTGTCTTCATTACAGTTGATTTATTTTCCATTCAGTAGATATAAGTTACAACATAGATATACACGATGATAGAAAATTCCAAACGCTTTCAGATTATGTAATTTTGTTTTTATGATGAGAATATCTTTAAAAAAATTTATTAAAACAATCTTTTTTTCAAAGATATATATGCAAATATAAACGTACTGTTTTTTGCCATCTTTGTGTTCATCGAGACTAATTGGAAGATATGTATATTCAAATTTTTGATCGAAATCATCCTTATCAAATTTTAAACAGCCTCGTTCACCAGCACAGCCAATCGATGGTGTATCAATAGGTGGATTTTTTTGAACGACCGTTTTTAAGCGATGCTTATCATTGCTCACTGTAACAGCTCTAACACGAACATAAAGTTCAGGTTTACCATCCTTTGGTACCTTCAGTAGAAAGGAGCTCGTTGTTTTTTTCACATGATTACACAATTATTTACCTGAATTTCAACATAAGTTCGTTGTGCAGCACCTTCACCACCTGCTTGTATTAGAGGACAAACACCTGCTTCTAGATCACTGAACATACGAACATGTTGATAACGATTTGGTTCTATTAAAACTTTTGGAGCAGCATATTGTGGTAATATGTTGTTAACACTTGGAGTATTCACTATTGTTGCTAAACATTTCAAATTATTTGATGAAGATTGAGAGGTATGAATTCTTTTTCGGCGTTTAGTGTTATTCTTATTCTTCGATACTACTTTCATATCATATCATGTATAGATAGTAAAAGTTTTTTTTTCACATACCTGTAAAGCATTCCTTGTTGTCGGTTTCCATTGATGAAACTTCTTCCACTGTATAGATACACAAACATAAAATTAAAAAGATTTCGTTTAAAGAAATGTTTACCATGAACAGGATTCATAGCAATTCGAGCAATTTCCAAGATTGAATTAAATTCATTTTCTATTATTTTGATTAAATCGTTTTCAGACAATCGATCAAAATCAGTCGATGTTGGATCTATAACAATGAAAAAAAAAAAAGTAAATCAATTATTCTTTATTAATATTTTATTTCTAGCCCAAACATTCTAGATTATATGCAAATTTGAAACAAAAAAGTCACAAAAAAAAATAATTAGATACAAGCTATTCGACGTACTTTTATATTTTCTTGTTAAAAACTTAAAATATGTTTGTAATAGAAATATGTATAAATTTTTCAAAATTAGAAAAAAATTTATTAAATAATTTTTTTTTGTAATAATCTATTAATATAAGCAAATAACCTTACAGTTTATTTCCATCTTAATTGGAATACTATTGAGTTTATTTTTCAATTTCCTAATGGATTGTGAAGCAAGTTGAAGATGATTTTCAATTGCTACACTAGCCGGTATTATAGTATCATTTTCAGAAGCTAAAAAATATATACATTCATTTAAATCAGAAGACATCAGTGAATTAAAAAGATTTACTTGACTCTGAAGAAATTTGAACATCAAAGTTATTCATACTATGAAAATTTTGAGTATTTGTCATATTGTGATTGTTACCATTAATGTTGCCAATTTCGGATGTTAAACCTGCACATGCTTAACAAAATCAGAAAAATAAAAATATATTTGAAATTCTATAGACGTACTTGTAGCATTCCATTCTTTTAAAAAGTTACTAATGTCTCTGATGATGCTTTCATCATTCATTGAAAAACAAGTTTTTAAAGAACCATCGGTAGTAGTGACATAGAATGGTGCAAATAAGTTTTGTCTGTAATGATACATTATGAAAGCAAAATTTTGATACTTTGATTGCTCGCCGTTGACTGAAACACCAACAAATGTACTTATTTGGTTATCATCACCGATCGAATTATCGTCAAACGGAATGACTTTGAAGATAATCTGCAATAGGTCAGCATAACCATCTAGCAAACATGGTAATTGTTCCTGTGTCATATTAGCTGATATTTTATCCAACGTGCATCGCATTTCAACAGCATATGAATTTTCAATACAACCATATGTAGCTATGAAATCCATGCATTCACTCAAACAACATAGTAGACGATATTGAATAGGACCGTGCCATGCTCTATGAAACAAAGAAAAAGAAAACTCTTAAGTCTAGTTGAGTAAAAAAAAATATTTGTTACTTTGAACCGGTGGATAACTGTACGTTTAATGAATTGGCTGGTTGTAGAATAACAGACGCGTCATTAAATGGATGTTCATTGAAAAAGTCACTTGACTCTGTAGAATCAGAATTTTGATCAAGCATGTATATAGAATTGTCTTGAATATCTATAAGATATACAAATTTTGATGTCTTATTTATAGGTAAAAATAATGAATAATCTTTTTCAACAGACATGAATAAGAGCAATTCACTCAAGGTATTCGAGTATATAAGTCCTAGAAAAAGAAACAAATTGCATCATCCAGTAGGAAAAAGACAACTCAAGTTCTTTTTTATTTAACCATTCTTGTTTTTAGTACGTTAACTATAGAATAGATCTTATGAAAGTATTCAGGAATGATTTCATTAATAAAAACAACGATATATTGATTAATATAGCCGATAGAATCCGGCTTTACCTACCCATCATGCTCTATGTTTGAATGAGAATGACAAATGCAGAGTAAGAGAAATTACTCACATACAAACTTCTAGTTTTCCAACGGTGATATTATTGGTTGATATTTATTTCAGATGAAATCATTCTATTTCTTACATTTGCTACTTATTCTCATATGTCATCAATATTTTTTTCATCATTATCACAATTCTACTTTATTTTCAGTATGCGTCAACATGCGGCATCTATATCATTTTAGTAGATTTGATCATGCTTGTTGTACTGATTCATTGCAAAAATTTGACTCACTTTTGTAAACTTTATGTTTATACATTTAAGATATTGCATGTCATACGTATCAAATCTTAATTACATATGCACATTTAATTTAAAAGGATTTCTTATATTGCTAAAAATTCAAAAGAATAAAATAAATAATGTTAACTTTGCTAAAATTTTGAGTGTTGGTTTGATGAAACAAGTATATATGACAAGAAATTATTTTGTGTTTATGTTTATATGTAATAGTTTCTTTTGAATATTTGTCAAGAATTAGTTAATGTTAAATTAAAATCAGAATATTTTCATTTATTGTTTAAATTTAAAATTATAATAATAAATAGATATTGATTTTTTTCATGTGATTGTACCTGGACATTATAATTGTTTCTTCATTTTTATAAATAATTCTATGACAAAGTAACAAAAAGCCGTAATTCACAATTTGAATATTAAAAAACAAAAGTTTCGTTAACAATAGTTGTAGTTTTCTTCATACTATTGATTCAATACTGAGTATTCTAAGTATACAGCTCTTATACATATAGATTTTTAAACAATCTTAACATAGAACTATTTTTATTCTACAATGTTAAGTCTTCATTGAGTTGAGATTATATACTAGATAATACTTAGAAATAAGTGGGTGCACGTTTTCAATTCTAATAGAGTTCCTGATTTGATAAAAAAAAATGATGCACCTCTTCTTTTGGATGGGTAGGTACATGTACTTAACTGCTAGTTTCGATATCGTTTTATAAGATTTGTCACATTGTTGCTGTGTATCAGGGATCTGTAAGGGAGCAGAAGAAGTATAAAGAATATAGAGGGTATGAGAGAGTAAAAAATGTATGAGGAGTTTAGGGAGTATAAAGGTATAAGGGAGTAAAAGAAGTATAAGATGTATGGTAGTGCAAGGAATATAGACAGTATAAGAACTATGAGGATTATAGGGGATATAAGAAGTTTAGAGAATATAATGGGCATAAGGAAGTGTAGGAAAAAAAAGTTCGTTTGTCTGGTAGCAATTAAGTATTATATGATTGATATTGTTAAAATGTATTATCTTCATTCTTGACGAATCAGTTTGAGGCTTCTAGCTGGATTATCATTTTTTTATATAGTTTTTTCTCATCAATTGAAATTGATTGGACACTATTAGTTTGTTAGGAATGAGTGAAGTCTGGTCAGTGGATTTCAAATGATAGAAAATAGGTAGAAATGAACAGTATCATTACGTTGAAGTTTATGGGTATAAATATTAGAATGTGAGTATCTGTTGCGTTCAGATGGAGATTCTCAAACTCTTAAGACTCCAACAGGATGTTGAATTGTTAAAAGTAACTTTACTTGTTTGTTTTCTCTTCATAACACAAATGTTTTACATATACTCTACTTCTCTGTAAAACTGTTCTACTTCTTGTGAATGTTTCATTTAAAACAGCATAAGTAAAATATCTTTATTATTGGGACTTCTATATGATTTTATTCTGTTCGATGATGATAATTATCATGTATTGATATATGTAAAAAATTAAACTTTTTTTTTTAAAAAGAATAATAAAGACTCATTGTTATTGCTGAAATTATATTTTGCAAATAAATATCTATTGTCCAATAATATAATCTTAATAACTGTTAGCTTTCTATGTTCATTCGTAGTGGAAGAACGTGACTATATGAAGAATATGATGAACATCAATATGATGAAGATCGTCTAAAAATCGACAGTTTTATCATGATTTGTTAGTTCGATTGATCGCGAGATGATATTGCGATGAAACCATCCAAAAAGACGATTTTTGTTAGAAATCGAGATTAATTCATAACTTTTTATTATTTATAATATATACTCCAATCAAACGCTCTCCGATAGTCGTATTGACAAAGAATTATCATTAGTTTGATATGTGACATATCTCTTGCACATTGTAATGATGATCATGAAGTTTTCCAACCTATATTGAAGAAATGAAATAGAACATTACATGATATTTGCAGAAGACAATGCTTACCAACTACAATACTGTATTAAGAAAAACTTGGCGAGACATATATTAAGCGAAAATTTAGATAGGATTTGAAATATAAATACTACTTATTGTATTGTTAATTTTTTGTTGATCATCTTGAATTTGATGTTGCACCTTTTCTAAAATACATTGACTTTTATCAATTCACAGAAATTAAAAAAAAGTAACAGGAAAAGTACGTTTTACATGTAACATAGTACTATACAGTTTTGAATAGCCTCTGTAGTCAAATGAGATAGTGTTCGTGTACAATAGACAAAAACATCCTATGTGGCATGTTTGTTCGCATTACTGTCGATGTACTGTAGTATCCATAAGAAGCGGCGGTATAACAAAGATTTACAGGAGGTAATGCTTACGACTTTCGATTCCGGCTATCAACGATTGCAGAGAATTCTTTCTATCTAAATTCGAATTATTTACTAAAAAAAAGTTAAATTAACTGAGAAGAAAACGGTTTCAGAATATATTTTTATAATAAAAGTTATTCCAGTGTTACTGATAACACTAAAATAAAATGTGTCACAACACTCTATTACGAAAATATGTCGTAATATAGATATGCCGTAGCCTATCTGCTAACTAATCATTCACCGTTTTGTTTGACGCATACAGCTACATACCAGCAACTCAATTGAACTTAATGAGCTCGTTTATTTTCGTATGGCTTTTTATCTAGCTTATTTATCGATTATTTGTTAGTCGAGAACATATCGGGAGATCGATTGATAATCGAGAAAGGACTGCCTTAAAGGAGGTATGATCGAGATCAAACGAACACCAAACGACTAAATCTCAAGACCTGACCACCTTGCGCTTTAAAGAATAGGTATCACTAATTAGAATGAAACTGAAAAAATAGTAATTATTCCCGTTTACAGAAAAATGATAAATGCGTTAAAGACTGGATTTGAAGCATGTTTTCAAAATGTATCGTAACGAGTACCTCATATCGCAAAGCACGACACATGTGACACATTTTATTTTAGTGTGAACTAAAAACTATCTTATAACCGGGATCAATTTTGGCTCTATCACTATCAGAGGTAACTCAGATGCATCAACATTATTATAGTGCAATGAAAACGACTCATTTCTATCAATTCTAACAGACTTCAAAAATATTCATCCGTTTTGATACAATATACCATGATACAATACTTTCAAAAAAACGCTGCTATAACACTCATTATACCGATCGATATGCAGGCAGTCGTTATCACATGAATTGTCCTCCTTCGTTTTGTATTAGCTGAAATAAATCTTTCGATGTATATTTATTACAGATCTTTAACATATAATAAACTATCTAATTCTAAAAATATTTTTGGAGTCGTTCATTTTGAGAAATGATTACTTTAATATCTAGAAATAAAAAAAATATTAAATAAGATGTGGTACTTAATCCTTTGACTATTCGTGTTGTCATGAAATCATCGATGAATTGTGATTGATTGCTGATTGTTCGGTCGAATTGATGTCGTCAATTTTTCATCAAAACTGACGGTTCCAACGATTTACTCTTTTTTTTGAATAAAGTTTTATTTTTATCATTTGTCTATTAAATTAATATTTTCAGTGTAGAAGAAATCAATTTCAACTGGAAAAAGTCGCTTTTAATATGCCTTCATCTTTAATAAATAATCAAACTCAAAAACTAAGTGACAACAGCCAATGTCGCTAGTATAGGTATTTTCAGTGTGTTCATAATAGTCAGGGAAGGTAATTTTGACTAAATTCTAACATTTTTCTAAGAGTTTAAAAATATTTATGCATTAAGGTATAGAAAAAAATTAAGTAGCAGAACTGCGGTTAACTGGTGATTTATGAGCGGTTGGAACGACATAGAAAATCACGATGGAGTGCCAGTTAGTCAAATATCGCGATGAATCATCCAAACAGAATCGATTTTTATGAGATGAGTAGAAGTTCAAAAACACAGGAGAACAAACAAGCGGATATTTATAGATTGATAGTCCGAAAGTTTCGTCGCCAATTATATAATGAAGACTTTCTTCGTTAGAATATATATGTAGAACTATTTTTATGGAGAAAAGTTCATAAGCAGAGCACATGATCATCAAAATAGTTATTTATATTCTACAAGTTTATCTAATAAGAAAGATATAAGTTCGAAATGATTTTTTACATAAAAATATAATTAATAATTAGTCTTTGGGAAATATTTCTTTATAATAAAAGTTACGATGAAACCTGACACCCTTTATGTTCATAAACTTTAACTATGTTACTTTATATCATTAATATGAGATGCTAAGATATTTTTTTTTTCTAAAGTTTGCATCAGATCGGATCTGATTGTATGGTTGTAACATCTGTACAGTGGATTATTACTAGTTTTATCGTCTATTGGAATACTATTTGTATGA